ACTAGTACATGTACATAATATTATTTCTGTTAACCAGTTCACAATATCTGGGATTTCATCAATACTGGTATTGCAAATGCAATGTTCCTCTTCTCGGCCAAGTTTTTTTTCCAGTTCATGTTTGTTGATAATTTCTTGTAAATCTTTTACCAGCACGCAGTTGGTCAGCATGAACAACACAATGTTTGGCACACTCCTCTTAAAGCTGTTCATTAACATCATTTTCCTATAAGCAAACAAATTTTCCATCATTACGAGAAGTTCAAAAGTTAATTTTCTAATCAGAAAATTTTCAGAAAATGCATGTGTCACTTGTACACATTTTTAAACAATCAAAAAGGTAATGTCACCTCAACTGTATCTGTTTTCTCTTTTTCTCCAACATCCTGCACTGTTGACTCTGTACTTTCACTGGCTAACTTCTGGTTTAACAGTTCTTCATCCTCAGAAGATAAGATTATATTACTTTGTTCTTTATCCACTCCAGAAAGCTCTCCACTGGGCTAAAAATAAATTAGAAAAATTTTTCTTAGACAACAACAAGGGTGGCACATTATTTGCCAACCTGAAGACTGTATTATGAATAATTTACATGTATTGAAAGCAGTAAAACCCTAGGCAATAACTGGCACTACAGTAGACATGGATTTACGGTGGATTTTTGTTTTTGTTGCAGTATTTACTGAAGGTTGATAGTTTCCCAGTACCTTTACATGTATATACTGCAGGGTGGACAGGAAGTTGACTGTAAAAGTACAGTTTCTTGCCCAAGGACACAACACAAAACCCCTGGCCCAGCTGGGGCTAAAACCTGGACTCCAAAATCTGGAGTCTGGGCAGCACATTATTCTAACAATTACAGTAGGGAACCTTACTCCCACACATTTTTGGCTAACATTGATGACTCTTTGCAATTCTCCTGGCGAAAGGTCTGTAGGTGGGAACTCAACATTGAAGTGGGCAACTGTGAGCATCACCGCTTAAAGTGCCACTGAAACGAAATTTTCGTATGTGAGATTTTTGCTTAGTAATAAAGTTTAAACCTTACTTGGAAACACTGCGGACTTTTTTTTCGCATACGGTAAGCGAAAACTGCTTTTTCAGCCGTTCAACCTCAGCTTCGGGGCCAAAAAAATCATCCAGTTCCTTGTGCAGGTCTGTGTCATCCTCCAGCATGATATCATCCAATGATCCACTGCTTCGACCATGAAGTAAGCTTATTGGCTCTGAAGGGTGATAAACATATATCTTATAAGATGTTTTGGTGTGTAGTATCACTGTATATTTTATGAGCTGTGCCATATTTTGATGAGCCCGTAGGGCGAGTCAAAATGCAAACAACAAGTAAAGATATAAAGTGATGCCACACACCAAAACATCTAATAAGAGATTTGTTATCCAACTGCTGTAGTCAATAAATTTATCAATGAAAGAGGGAGAGTGACAGTTTTGTGTGCGCACACTGACCTGTATGGCAAACAGGTTTACTACTGTACAAGTAACTGTACAATATTGCTGTATATTTGTACTGTTATTTGGACGGCATTTGCTGCAGTTGGATACTAAAATCATGTATAATGCAAAACAAATTATATTTTAAAGTTTCTGTCCACTTAAATTACATGCTGAACTTGACATAGTCTACAGTAACCTTGTTCCCAGCCCTGTCTGTCTTTTTCCTGCCCACTGGAGTAGGGGAAAGAGAGAGACCCTGGGAACAAGGTTGAGTCAACAGCAGCGGATTCTAAATGTAGCTGGCACATGAATGAAAAAGGCAAAAAATTTATAATATTACATATACTGGTAACCGGTTAAATATATACTGTAAATGGCAACATTGGGTAAATGGGTAACTTTTCTTTGTCAAACATCCTGGATATGCCTGGCTTTCATTAATTTAAAAGTTCTAAATTCTTTGCATGTTTGTCGGAATGTTTGTTTCTTGCTCCACAGCGCACCTGTCCCTGAGTTACTTGTGACTAAAACCCTATTGGGTGACCACTATTTACAAATTTGCTCTCAAGTGCAATAAAACTCATGAAATTTTAAGCCACATAAAAGTTGAATACCTTCTGTCTTGCCATGTTGTATGTAGTAGTTCATTTGTTCAAGAAATGCATCTTCATACACTTGTTGTTTCTCTATAGAGGCCTGTCTCTCCAGTTGCTGAAGTTTGACATCATTTCTTTCTCTTGCTGATTGAAGTTCCTCTGAAAGAATAATCAAATGCAGTTTGTTAAATAAAATATAAACTTGAAGTCAGGTTGAAATGTAACTCTTACAGGTGTACTAACAGCCATTAGCAGAATTCTACTAGAACACTAATGAAAATGTTGCAATCTGATTTGATGAGTGATCGTACACTACCAGATGGCCTGTCAGATGGCATGTCTAATTAGTAATACTAACTAAACCACACATTGTAAAACACGACAACACTGTGCAGTGTTGAGCAACAACTGAACAGCTGTGTCTTGTTGGCTTTTAGCTACTGCACATATAGTCAGAGTATGTAGCAGTGGCAACCATGGAATATGAATTAAAGTACTTCAGAATTGCAGTTGAATCTCTCTAAAAAAAGAAAGGCCACCTGCTTGGAGTCAGAATTAACTGGGTTAGATATTGTTACAAAAAGTGGTTGTTGTAGAGAGTTGGAATAAAAAGTCGGACAAGCAAAGAAACCTGGCCATTGTGGAGAGGTACATGTATGTGGCTATCGTGGGAGGTACTTTAATTTGACTGTGTACACCATGTACTACAGGGTGTTCTCCTACCTTTCAAGGCATCTAAGTCATCCCTGAAAAATGGAATTAGGATGCATTACCGGACAGGTCAAAAGCTCATTACAACAATGAAGATTCTCCAAATAAAATAATTTTAAAGTGTATAATTATTAGTAATATTTACTTCTTACTAACTGTGTTTGAGGTCTGTACTTTAAGTTGCAGACATTTTACCCCTTGATTTAATATTGGCCCAGTGGCAGAGTATGATTGTGTAAATTCTGTTTTGACAATTCACCTTCAGCAGGGAAATACATGTACATGTATACTGTAGCCATAGCCCGTGCAGTGAAAGACTGAGTTTCATTGTACAGTATTTCCCTTTTTACAATAACTGCAGAAATTCTCGCGCATCCATTGGCTAAGTTTTATTGTCAATAAGAGGACAAACACATGAACTTAAAATTTACGCAATGTATTGTAAAAAACAAATTGATGTCAGTTTTTCACCCATCTGTTCTGTTATAGACAATGAATTTCGTCATAATATTGTCAAAGTAGTTTGCAGATCCACTCGTCTATAGCCTCGTGGATCCACAGCTACGTTGAGAATGTTATGATGAAATTCATGATCAGTAAGTCAGGACAGACGCATGAAAAACTGACGTCAATTTGTTAAACTGACAGCATATTGTTAGACTTACTCTCTGTTATGTCTAAGCATGTTAAGCTTCAGGCCTTGAGCAGTTTTTCTTCTTTCCAAGTCCAGCTGTTCGCAAACTTCTTCCAAATCCACAAACAAGTTGTCTAAAACTTCTATCTGACCTCCAAAGGCATCTATAGAAACAAACAAACAAAAAAATAATAAAACAATTACATTTCAAAAACCACCCTTCAGATTAAGCTAGGCAACTTATGAAATAATAGCCTGATATTGAAACAAAACATAAATGATGCTGCAAGTAAAATCTCATGGATGGGCACTGAGTATCCCTGTTTTGAATCACTACATGAATGTATGGGCTTATTGCAATTTTAAAGAAGATCAATTTAAAACTTGCCCATGTAATATTATTAAGGTGTTAACTAAAGGTTACTTATTAATAAGGAGGCAGTGTGGTCAAGTGGTTAGGCCGCTAGGTTTGAAATCTGGAGGTCATGGGTTGAAATCCCATTCTGGCCACTAAGCTCAGGGCAGGAATTGTTTCTCAGTAGAATGTACATGTGTAGTTCAACTCCTCAGCCATACTTGTAAATTAGCCAACTAGTCTGCCTCAACCCAGTTATATTATTATAGGTTTATTTGAAATATTTGTTTCTTTCAGTTTGCAGTGTCTGATCTAGAGAATGAGGAAATTCATTGTCAATAACAAGACAGACGCATCAAAAAGTGATGTCAATTTGTTTTTTACAATAACAAATTGTCAAATTATCCCCGACACGTCAACATCGCATAGATTATAAATTCATGCATCTGTCTACTTATTGACGATGCAAATTAGCCAAATGAGCCTGCAAGAATTTCTGCTGCAATGATTGTAAAAATGTTTATTTTAAATGTCAAATTAGAAATTTGTCAAAAATGTATAAACTCTAACTTACATGTGTGTATGTTTACTTCAGATCTAGCCAATTGTTCCCACAACTCAGACGCTCTCAAAACAGTACAATTAAGCATGTAAATGAAATGTATGAAGCCACAGAAGTGTAGAGGTGCCATTAGTCCAGGCACTGTTCAAATCCTTCCTTTCCCGGCCCATAGTATTTGAACCCAGCTTGGAAAAAGACTGAGAGTCCAGAATAACTTGTCCCACACATCCTTAGAATGTGGTCATTTCCCCCCCAAAGAATGAGATAGAGACATTTTACAAGAAAGATGTACATGTACAGTACACAAGCAATCAAGATTACAAACCTGAGCTTTAGCTGCACATTCCCTTGATGCTTCATGAAGCTCTGCCCATTCTTTCTGAAACCTAGTACAATGTACATGGTCACATCAGAAAATTGATGGAATTGATAATAAAATGTACATGTATTGCAACCATTGTACAAGGGAACTTCATCACTAATGATCAGTAAAACTAAACATAAAATATTTTATGATAATCAAAGCAAGCCATTTGTACAAAATTATGGCAGAATTTGATAAGCTCAACATGCCAATGAAAGGAAAATTGCATTTACTGAATTCACTGCCACAAAGTGTCCTCCATCCACCATCTTTGTTTGTATACTGCTTAGTGCCACACAATAGCATTTTACACCTCATCCCAGGACCCTGGGATTGCAGGTGAAGGCTGCACTGTAGCTTTTTTGACTATGGATACAACATGTAGGCAGGGTACCTCACCTTCCCAGGGTCCCCTACCTCCATGTGAACAGGCCCTTACAGTTGTACTCTAGATATATGAATTGGTGACATGTCCAGGACCAGATCATTTCAACCACTCTTGTCTTGGGTATAAGCAATTAACTTGCATGGCAACTTAATAAACTTAAGGGGAAGTGCGGTGGCCTCATGATTGGTGCACTCGTCTCTGGATTGTGCAGTCCTGGCCAGGGACATTGCGTTGCATTCATTGTGTGAGACACTTATTCTCACAGTGCCTCTCTCCACCCCAGTGTATATATGGGTACCAGCAAACATACAGTGTAATGCTGGGTGTAACCCTGCCATGTACTAACATCCCATCCAGGAGGGAGTAGAAGTACTCTTAGTCACTTCATGCAACAGAAACTGGTATAAGCTCTGACCTGATGGGTCACTTGGCTCGTGTGCAGACTTGCCATCTAGTCTTCTGCATATGCAACTATTTAATATGCATTTTTCTTCACAGTCTGACTACCTGACTGTATTTTTAATGGTTAACTGTGCTAGACTGTATTTACAATTCATTTTGATTGATAGCATCAAATGGCTGGACAAGTACTTGAGTACTTACTTGTTTAGGATTTCAGAGCCTGCCTCAAGATCACAACTGAAACACTGGTCACCACTGAAAAAACATTGAAATTGTCCATCAAACACTGAAAGACCTTTTTGGTGACCCAAAGCTTAGGACAGATTTACATATAAATAGATACCCAGGAGAATAAGAAGCACAAAAGATCAACTAGTGGGTAGACACTTCCCTGCAAATCTCTAATTGAAGGGGTGAGTGGAATAACGCCCTAGGTGCAACGTAACTGACTTTTGGAAAACGTTGAGGTGACCAGTATTTAAATACCTCCCAGCAGTTTATACAGTTTACTCTCATCTTCATTTTTGTCTAAAAAGAACTAGTACTAATGTGAATTACCATTGAAACAAATTTTAAAAATGGTAAAATACAAAAAAAAATCATAATAATTTAGACTAGTGCTACTTCGAGCACAGGCAACCTAAGGGAGGAGATTTAAAAATGAGAGAGATGAGATAAAAATGAGATTTTAAAAATGGTAAAATACAAAAAAAAATCATAATAATTTAGACTAGTGCTACTTCGAGCACAGGCAACCTAAGAGAGGAGATTTAAATCGGAATTAAGAAGAGTGAGTGTATACATGTATGTATGCAGTTGCATGTAGATATACACAATTTCTTCAGACTTCCAATCAAAACTTTCTTTTAACAGTCACACTACAGCTGTAATAATTCTTTAACAATTGTACAGGTAGTTATACAGTAATACTGTATGTTTCAATAACTGATTTATTAAATTATAATTGAAGGAGTGCATGGAATATACCCGTAAGTGACTTTTGGAAAATTTTGAGGCAGCCAGGATTAAAACACCTACCAGCAATTTTCACAGTAACTTATTCCGGTTATAGTTGTTGTCTCAATTAAAAAAAAAAGTAATTATCTATACAGTTGGGTTTTTACTTTAAAAATTTCCCCCTGGCATTATCCCACCATATTTTTGTTTTTGTATATGTGGCAAAGTATTATTAAAATTAACTTACACACTCTCAAAAATCTATTTTTAAGGATACGAAATTTGGGGATTCCGAGCTGAGCAAAATGCATGGGAATTTTTACAAAATTCAGGGTATTGATCTACCTACCTTTCGATGATTTCATCCGTTATAAAAGTCGTCTTTCTGTATCAGTCAAACAAAATGACTCTTTTTAAGCTTTTCAACCTCAGTTAAACTGCTTTAGCTTGCCAACCCTCCCTCAATCTACAGTGTTGATCATTTATAGTTCAGTCGTCATGAGTATTTAATTCACAAACATTACTAACCGAACTATTTTCTTGTTAACGGCCTTGGCCTTATCTGCGATCGATTTCCAGCTAAAAGGAAAGAAAATGTGAGAATGACAATAGTTTAAAAAACGCACGAACAAGGCAGCTATGATGCAACATTACTAAAGTGTACGTGAACTTTCTACCACAAGACGAGGTGTCTTAAAGAGACGAGGTCCTGTTATTATTTAATTAATTAACTCTTACCCTTGGCTCAGATCATGCTGTACCGTCTGCAAACGATCTCTAAAGTTATCGAACATTCTTCCTGGTACAGTAAGCTTAGATAATCCCCAATTTTTCCGTATTATTTCGCCTTGCAAGTTAAAATTATATTTTCCATCTTTGTGCTCTGTTTTTGCTTGAGTTTTTGCTTCGCTTTTGTATTCTCGTGCGAAAAACCGCTGAACGCAATTTACCCAAAATGCATTGCGTGACTCATTTCCAATATGGCCGCCTCAGGGTGCTTTCTAGTGCGTTGCGTGCTTGAAAGTTATTAGAAACTAAAACTAACGCGAAATATTTTAATCTTCGAAACATTTAAGACGTGTATCGACGAAAAATCTGTTAGAAATTTCAAAACTTGAAAGGTAATTGGCGATACGTGAAGTTTATTTTGTTTAATTGTTAATTAGGACGAAAAGTTCAAGAGTGTTGTGTTATTTTACGCGTCTTATTTCCAGGCGTTGTCTTCCTGTTTATACGACTTGCTCCAGCAAACGAGACAAGAGAAATGGCGAATTCAAGCAACGAATCTCTGATAATGACTTTACTGGAACAAATCAGGGCTTTGGAGGATGAAAGAGACAAGGCTTTGGAGCTGGCGGGCGAACTTGGGGCGAAGGTTAAAATGAATGGTCCGCTATCAACAGATTCTAACGAGGACAGAGCTAGTGTTACCTCTAGCAACAGTGAAGAATCCGAACCGAAACTTGAGAAGTTACGAGAAGAAAATGAGGTACTGAGAGGAACCATTGAAACAATGACACAAACGGTAGTCTTTGATCTGGAAGAGATTCGACTCAACGAAGAACAAAGAAGGTTTAATCTAAAAGAACTTATCTGCGAACAGCAGAATGACAAATCAGGAGAGTCAAACGAGGACATGGATGCTAATAGTTACAGGACAATGTTGGATATGTGTAAAAAGTACTATGGAAAAATGGTTGCTGAACTTCAGGAGGAAAGAGGTTCATTGCAGCAGAAGGTTGAAAAACAGCAAGCTTTGCTCTTAGAAAAAGACATGAAAATTACTGAACTTGAGATGAAGCTCCAGCAAGTTTCCAAAAAGTAGGCAATGATTAAGCAATCTGTTATAAAACTATGCATTGACCAATAAGCATTATTCTAACTCAGCTAGATTGAAATAAGCAGCTCTAGAGGTGTTGAATGGTATGGGCGGCCATCACCACCAAAAGTACAAGATTATTAAATGGCACAGACCAAACATAAATGGTTTAGTGATGGTTTGCAAAATGGAATAAATGATTGACAAATGATACTGTCTAAATACAAATAGTTAGGTGTTCTTATGTTAAACGGTCTACTGAAACAGTAAATGATTTAGACGATTTAGAAATGGTTCAGTCACCGATATCAAAATGGAACAAACTAATAAGAATCAGTTTATTTAAAT